TATCTTTCCCAATTTTCTTGATTTTTATTAGACCTAAAAACCTTATAACTTTCATTTCTGTCTTTTGTGGCAGTTGTACGCATAGATTCCACCACATTTTGTATTCCACCACATTTTGTATTTAGGTAATAACTTGATTGTGTTTTTAGGTGCACTCTTATTTAAAACATTTATTATTTCTGAGTAAAAATATTTGTATTGCTCATTGACATCATATGAAAAATTCCTAGTTATTTTTTTAAGTTCGTATTAATAGCTTGAAAAATCTATATTTCGTTTCCTACTCTTTATCATCTACCCTTTATGTTATTGGCGTCTCGTGGGCTACACTGACAAAATTTATAACATTATTGCGCCCTAAATTTGAGTCATTTGTTATATCAATAATATCATTTATTTTCTTATTAATAGAAGTTTCATAATTTGTAACATGAATAATTTTTGTACATGATTTATGAATTAAGTTACTATTTTTTTTTGTCATGCCAATATTTTTTTACTGCTTATCCACACCAGCAACTTACGTTTATATATTTTATTATTCAAAAAAGTACGAAAAATGGTTTTCATTAATCTTGACATCTGATAGAAGGGTTGGAGTTTTTTTATATCTATACTTTTCTTTACTTTTAGCACCATTTTATTTTCATTTGAAATGTAAATTTTATTTTCATGGTCCAAAATGTCTACTTTTTACATACAGTTTTCTAGTTTATCTGACACCGAATGTTTGTGTTGCACCAGAATCGATTATAAATGTTAATTTTTTTTTAAAGGGTCTCACCATATTCGACCGACAAACGCTTTACCCCAGGGAGCTCTCAGAAATTGATGAATTTTGATATGAAAACATAAACTCTTAAAGGGCGTAATTACCGAGATGCAGGGAGTTGAAAGATTAAAATCAAAATTTAAAATTTGTCATAAATATAAAACGCCTTTAATTTGTTTTTCAAATTTGGTGGCCAATATGCTCTTTAGGAAAGTAATATTTTGACATACACTAACGTTTGAAAAATTTAACCAGTAGCTCGCTATCAGGGTTAGTGGCAACTTTAATCCCTATTGTTTACGCCATCGGAAAAAATATTTTTTAATTTTTTTATTCAATGTTCATTAGTTAAAAAAAAATAATAATATATCATAGAGCCTAAATGAACGGCGTTGTAATTCGCTATATACAAAAGTCTGCACGTACTTGTTGTAACGACTCAATCATTCTAATCTAGTAGGCACTGTCAAATTTTAATACTTCATGTATATAACAAGATTTTTATAGATCAAATTTAAAAACAATATAGCAATTTTTTAATTTTGATTTAAAACATTTACGTTTAACACTCTGTATCTTGGTAACTAAGCCCTTTAAGGGTTCTTGTTCCTATATCAAAATTCATCAATTAACGAGAGCTCTCAGGAGTAGAGCGTTGACGGCCGAATATAGTGACGCCCTTCGTATTGTTATTGTTTAGGCCGTCCGTAAAAATAAATGATACTTCACTGAAAATTCCATGTTATCTTTGCGAAGTAGACTACTCGTTTTTAATAGCCAGTTATACAGTGTGTCGCATTTAAGATGAAGACACCCCTATATTTTGTCTATCTAAATAAATCCAGATTTGAAGTTTCGCAGAGTAATACAAATTGATGGTTCATATTTTTTAAGATGCTCAACTGAAATTTAAATTTTAAACGCGGCTTGCTGCGAATCCACAAACAGGGTAAATTTTCCATATTTTTCTTCGCGTTGGAGATATCAGAAAAAGTTATTTGAACAAGTTGTTCAGAATATCATTCTTACCCCACATACTAAATTTCATGACAAAATTCGCATTTTTAGTTTTTTCATTATTTTTGTCAATACACAAAATTATTAAATGTTGATTATTTTTATTCGATAAACTAGTGTGTCATGGATAGGAATAATATCGAATAAAAAAAATCAACTTTTAATAATTTTTTGTGTATTCAATTCAAATTTTGTCATGAAATTTGTAATGTTGGGTTAGATTAATATTCGGAACAACTTTTTCAAATAACTTTTTCTGATATCTCTAACGCGAAGAAAAATATCGAAAATTGACCCTGTTTGTGGATTCGCAGTAGGCCGCGTTTAAAATTTAAATTTCAGTTGAGGGTCTTGAAAAATGTGTACAATCACCCTGTATGACTGTGCAACATTTCAAATCTGTATTTATTTAGATAACCAAAATATAGGGGTGTCTACATATTAAATGCGACACACTGTATAACCCGCTGCGAGTGAATCTTTGTGGGACAAGTAAAATGAACAAGTTACATTAAGGGCGGGCGTGGGCAATGTATTTAACATAGGCATACAGAACGCTCTTTCAATGACTTTTTAGCTGAAACTACAACAAAGATAAAAGTGAAAAAATTCCTGCCGATAATAGATATATACTACTGTTCAATAAAGGTTTTTGGTGTCTCTAACTATAAGGGATCGTTTAAAAATAATTCCCAAAATATGGTAATTTTTACGATGAAAAAAAGCTAAAAATATACTAGTAATAATTACCCGATGATGAAAATAATTCTTCTTTGAATAGGCTATATACTAAAGCAACAAATGTCACTTAAAATATCTAAATTAATTGCGTCAATTTTCTTAAAAGCTCATTGAAGTAAATTTTGGAATAAATTATAAATCGCCATTTATGTGTAATAATTGCCTAAAATATAAAAGAAAACTTCCTAACACTGCATACAGTAGCCACAGGTTAATTCGGAGCTTCTCTAATAGATGGGCGCTAAAGTCGTCTTGAATAAAAATAAAAATAAATTCAAATATGCAGGTCCTTATTTAGGAGTTT